CGGGTGTTTTCCAGGGAGCAATGCCAGGTGCCATAAAAGCAAGGGCGGCTCCTCCCGCTGCTGTTGCCCTCGGGACTGCCTGCACGTGGGGGTGGCTGTGCCACCAGCCCAAACCCTTCCCGGCACCGGCTGTCCGTAAAAGCTGGCTGCAAAGAGGGTCTGCAGCCCCTCTCGGTCCCCTGGCTCTTCCCTCTCACTGGAGCTTTCCTGCCTTGCAGCCTGGAAAAAGCTCTGTGGTCACTGTCTGGGCAGAGAGCGGCCAAGGACCGATTCGAGGAAGGGCTGGGGGTACGACGGGGCAGATCACCTCAGCCTGGGTCACATCCCTGGAGGCTCAGCTGCCGGCATGTGGGTAGGGGGAGGGATGCCAGCAGCACGCCAGGCCTGATTCTGGGCAGCATGAGTAAATTCTAGCTCATAGTTTTATTTGGACAAGGTGAAGTGCAGCATTTCTGCTGTGAAAGGCAGCCCGCAGCGGGACTGACATTTGCTGGGATGGAGGGATGAGTCATCGGGATGGCGAAGCACCGACAGCAGTGGGAGAGCCGCGCTGCTTCCCATCTGCTGTGGTTTTATAACCCACGGCCGGCAAGAACTGGGGCCACCTCCTCTACCTGCAGCTGCAGGGACTCGCCCCGGGCTGTCCCTGCAGCACCAGCCAAGGAGGCATCCGCCTCGCCGGTCAATAAATAACGGAAACACACGTTTTTCACCAACTTACCTGCAGAGTGCGCGGTCCTCAGGGCAGCCGCTGCGTTTTTCAGAGACTTCGACGGAGCCGACGGAGCCACCTTCTCGGGGCGGCTTGTTTACAGCTCAGCAAACCGCCCGCAGTGCAAGGTCTAAGTGCCAAGGGCAGTGGGATCACAGCCCGCCCCCGGGCAACGGGGCCAAAGTCTTTGCTCCAGACCCGGGGAGGTGGAGTCCCCCGCGCCGGACCCTGCACGCCGCTGGCAGCCAGCCCTGAGTCGCTCCTCTGAAAAGAAAACGGGGTCACCATGGTCCGTGGCAAAACGCCATCATTGACACTTGTCACCATGGTGACTGCTGGCTGCCCCGAGGGGTCCTGGTGGAGGGGGACATGGGGACAGGACTCCCCAGCCACTGAATTCCTGTGCGATCCGGGAAAATTGGATGCTTTGGTGTTGATTTTCGCATGGTAAGAGAGAAACGGCATTGCCACCCTCCTGATACACCCCAGGTGCTGTGCTGCCCAGGTTCCCCATCTCAGGGGTCAGATGGCTTCGTTTCTCGTTTCTAAGCTGCCTCTCCCTTCACAAAACCCACAACTTTAGGTTCTGGGCTGAAAAGCCAGGTTTCTGTCGGTGCGGATATCATTACCAGCAGCGGAGGCAGCTCTGGAAGCACAGGTGCTTGGGCCGAGTTGCTACAATTAGGGGTTTTACTGTGCCTAAAGCTTTTATAAAGAGAGGTAACGAGGATAAAAGATACGGGAACTCATCTCCCACACAGTCAGGTTGCAGACACATCTCTGGAGTCCCCGGGCCCAGTTACGCAGCATGACCCACCGCAGGTGATGGGAATTCGGTCCCACAAAAGGCAGAGGAAAGGCACGGGTAGGCGTACGCCGGCCTGAGCAGAAGGATGCTTTACCCCAAGAGGTCAACGGGGATGGCCCGGGAGCGTTAAGTCTGCAGGCTCACAAGGCTTAAGCACCCAGTTCCTTTAATGCTTTTGGGAGCGGAGCACCCCTCGCACACATTTCCAACCCCAAGCATCGTTGCGGGGGCTGCCGTCCTGCCTCCCGCCGCTGAGCAGGGGCAGCAGCACCAGTGAGGG